ATATGGTCTGTTACAAGTCCTCAACTCGGCCATTCTAGTGTGAAAGTAAACAAATGAGCTTAGCTGTGTTTCAGTAAAACTTTACAAAGCCAGGTTGCAGGCAAGCTGTAGTTTGCCAGTTTGTGTGCTGGAGCAGCATCTTAAACTATTAGGTGAGCAGGAATGAGCTGGATGTCTTGTTAAAAACTGAGGATTCTGATTCAGGAGGTCTGAGGGTAGGACCTGAGAGTCTGCATTTCTGCCATGTTCCCAGGTGATGCTGATACTGAGAACCACCTGTTAAAGGCAAGATTTTGGAGTCCTTACTAGAAATCCTTATTTCCAGAATTTGTTGTGGTTGTTGCTGAATAGTCACAAAGTTAGCTGAAAGTATCAAGTGTGTTTAACTAGAAGAAAAGGAAGACTATTTTCTTTAAGGCAAGTTTGCAGATTTGGCCTCAGTAAAATAGTGGTTTTCTGGTTGTGTAATGATGGTGCAAATGATGGTTATATAACTCAGCAAACCAAAGTACAAAACCAAAGTACTTCACTCTTGGCCTCAGTTTCCCCTGTATAGCATGATGATAATCCAGACCCAAAGATGGTTTGAGACTTGGAGAGAGCCTGAGAAGCCATTTAGACCAGTTTTTCTCAGGTGTGTGTGGTCTTACCCTTCTGTCTCTCCTCAGTGGGTTAAAAATGGAGGGTCCCAGGGCCCACCCAGAGCCACAGTGCCCACTGAGCCAGCCTGCAGACCTGCCTGGTCTCCAAGGGCCGAAATGATTCTTATGTGCACTGAGGCTGAGAAAACTTAATTGGTTAATGGTTTAGACAAGGGGCCCGGGGTCCTTAAGGGCAAGCATTTTGCCTGAGGTCTTCCAGGAAGACACGGCGCTGTACCCAGAATTCCTATTAAGGTAACAGATTTGAAACACTCCACGAAAAATGTAGCCATAGTTTTTTTGTTTTTTTCTTCTTTTTAAGGGATAGAGAAGAGGGAAGTGGAATAAAGTAATAACAATAATAATCTGAATAGCTAACTTTCTTTTTTTTTTTTGGCCACATGACACAGTTTAGTTCCCCAACTGGGGGGCTGAACCCTGGCCCTTGGCAGTGAGACTGCAGAGTCTTAGCCACTGGGCCACCAGGAAAGTCCCTGATAGCTAACTTTTTACCCCAGTGGAACCTACTACTAGGCTCCAGTCTCTTTACCTAACATACTAGTTATCTATCACTCCTGATTAATTACCCCCCAAACTTAGTGGTTTAAGACAACAAATATTCATTAACTTACAGTTTGTGAGAGTCACGAATCTGGAAGCAGTTTACTGGTGTTTCTGGCTCAAGGTCTCTCACGGGAGGTGCAGTAACCACATTGTCCAGGGCTGTGGCCCTCTAAAGGTGGATCAGCTTCCAAGAGGGCTCCCTCACATGGCTGTTGGTTGAAGGGCTCAGTTCCTCACCATGTGCACCTCTCCATAGGTTTGCTTGAGACTCCTTAGGACATGACAGCCAGTTTCGTCAGGAGTGAATGATCCTAGAGAGAGTAAGGCAGACAACACATGTCTTTTATGAGTTGGCCACCAAGTTCCCCTAACATCACTTCAGCCATATTTTACAAGACACACAGGCTAACCCTGAGACATTGTGGGATGGGACTACTCAAGGGCATAAATACCAAGAGTCAGAGATCATACAAGAGAAGCAAAACGCAAAGGAGAAAAGAAAAGATATACCCATTTGAATGCAGAGTTCCAAAGAATAGGAAAGAGAATAAGAAAACCTTCAGTGATCAGTGTAAAGAAATAGAGAAAAACAATAGAATGGGAAAGACTAGAGATCTCTTCAAGAAAATTAGAAATACCAAGAGAACATCTCATGCAAAGATGGGCACAATAAAGGGCAGAAATGGTAGGGACCTAACAGAAGCAGAAGATATTAAGAAGAGGTGGCAAGAATACACAGAAGAACTATACAAAAAAGGTCTTTACGACCCAGATAATCATGATGGTGTGATCACTCACCTAGAGCCAGACATCCTGGAATGCAAAGTCAAGTGGGTCTTAGGAAGCATCATACAAGCAAAGCTAGTGGAGGTGATGGAATTCCAGTTGAGCTATTTCAAATCCTAAAAGATGATGCTGTGAAAGTGCTGCATTCAATATGCCAGCAAATTTGGAGAACTCAGCAGTGGCCTCAAGACTGGAAAAGGTCAATTTTCATTCCAATCCTAAAGAAAGGCAGTTCCAAAGAAGGCTCAAACTACCGCACAATTGCCCACATCTCACACCCAATTAAAGTAATGCTCAAAATTCTCCAAGTCAGGCTTCAATAGTACGTGAACCATGAACTTCCAGATGTTCAAGCTGGATTTAGAAAAGGCAGAGGAACCAGAGATCAAATTGCCAACATTCACTGGATCATCAAAAAAGCAAGAGGGCTTCAGAAAAACATCTACTTCTGCTTTATTGACTATGCCAAAGCCTTTGACTGTGTGGATCACCACAAACTGTGGAAAATTCTTAGAGACGGGAATACCACACCACCTGACCTGCCTCCTGAGAAATCTGTATGCAGGTCAGGAAGCAACAGTTAGAACTGGACATGGAACAACAGACTGGTTCCAAATAGAGAAAGGAGTATGTCAAGCCTGTATATTGTCACCCTGCTTATTTAACTTATATGAAGAGTACATCATGAGAAATGCTGGGCTGGAAGAAGCACAAGCTGGAATCAAGATTGCTGGGAGATGGAGAAGGAAATGGCAACCCACTCCAGTATTCTTCCCTGGAGAATCCCAGGGACGGAGGAGCCTGGTGAGCTGCCATCTATGGGCTCGCACAGAGTCAGATGACTGAAGTGACTTAGCTGTAGCAGCAGCAGTGCCACGAAGTGAACATATAGGTCACTAACTACAAACCGCCAAAGGGTTCCATTTCCACTTAAACCAAGGTCATACACGTTATGTCTGAACTTTTTTTTATTTTTGTCTTCATTCATATCTTGGTAGTTTTCCCTGCTTTCCAATAAAGTTCTTCTATGAGGGCTAAAAAAAAAAAAAGATTGCCAGGAGAAATACCAGTAACCTCAGATATGCAGATGACACCACTCTTATGGCAGAAAGTGAAGTGGAACTAAAGAGCCTCTTGATGAAAGCGAAAGAAGAGAGTGAAAAAGTTGGCTTAAAACTCAACATTCAGAAAACCAAGATCATGGCATCTGGTCCTATCACTTCATGGCAAATAGATAGGGAAACAGTGGAAACAGTGACAGACTTTATTTTTCTGGGCTTCAAAATCACTGCAGATGATTTTTAAAAGATGATTTTAAAAGATTTAAAAGAAAGATTTTAAAAGATGATTTTTAAAAGATGCTTGCTCCTTGGAAGAAAAGTTATGACCAACCTAGACAGCATATTAAAAAGTAGAGACATTACTTTGTCAACAAAGGTCCATCTAGTCAAAGCTATGGTTTTTCCAGTAGTCACATATGGATGTGAGAGTTGGACTATAAAACAAGCCGAGTGCTGAAGAATTGATGCTCTTGATCTGTGGTGTTGGAGAAGACTCTTGAGAGTCCCTTGGACTGCAAGGAGATCCAACTAGTCCATCCTAAAGGAAATCAGCCCTGAATATTCATTGGAAGGACTGATGCTGAAGCTGAAACTCCAATACTTTGGCTACCTGATAGGTAGAACTGGCTCGTTTGAAAAGACCCTGCTGGTGGGAAAGATTTGAAGGCAGGAGGAGAAGGGGATGACAGAGGATGAGATGGTTGGATGGCATCACCGACTTAATGGACATGAGCTTGAGTAAACTCCGAGAGTTGGTGATGGACAGGGAGGTGTGACGTGCTGCAGTCCACGGGGCCACAAAGAGTTGGGCACGGCTGAGTGACTGAATTGAACTGAACTGAAGAGATCATGGGGCCATTTTGCATGCTGGCTGCTATGCTTAAAATCCTGTGTTCATTGCCTTCACCAGCCTGGAGAGGAACTCTCATCCCCATTTTGCAGATATAGAAACCAAGGCACAAAGGAATTAAGTAAAGTTACTTACTCATGGTCACACAGCTACTAATTGCCAGAGCTGGGATCTGAAACCAGGTCTTATTTCCAGAGATTACAATAGAGGAAGTATTGGTATAAATAACCTTTGTTTGAAACCAAAGGAAGAACCCAGGGTTCTTCAACCAGCTGTATCAATTATCTATTCACTCAACAAACTGTATTAAGCACTCACCATTCCATTTACTGGGGATGCAGCAGTGAATGGAACAGAGCTCATGTTCTGGGAGCTTGCCTTCATGCCCTTGGTTTGTTGGATATCCTGGACGTGGTAGTATATTGAGCCCACATGGAGAGTCCGGGAACCTGAGCTCTCTTACTGGCCCAGCTTTAGCTCACTGGGACTCAGGCAAATTCTCTCCCTTTCTAGGGCTCCCTTTTCTACGTGCTGCCTCTGAGGCACTTGGAATGTGACAGCGGTCTCTGTACTTCAGAATCACCGTGGAAGCTTGTTGGCCGTAATAGACACCTCAGCCCTCTGGCTTGCTGACCAGAACCTATAGTTTTTAATAAGCTCCCAGGTGATTCTAATTCAGAGAGTGATCTTCTGATGCATAATTACGACCCCCAGATCAGCACTGCTCAGAGCATGTCCCCCTCCCACCAGATTTACTAGTGATTCTGAGACAAGGACAAATCAGGATGTTGACGGTGAAACTAGAAACCAGCATTTTAAACTTCCTTCTGAGGTGATTTGATACATTGTGTGCCAGGTACTGCTAAAAAACCTTCCAGGGATTCTGTCCTTTAACACAACCACCTCTGAGATACAGAGACCCTGAGATAACTCCACTGTACAATTTAGTAGAGTGAGACTCAGGCTACTGACGAGTCTGATGACAGCCCAGTCTTGCCTTTCTCTCTGCCCTGTTTGGGCCCTGAGTGGGCCTGCATGCTAGTGGGTGTGGGGGTCCCTCTGCAGGACCTTGCTCATGGTCCCCTTTGTCTGTTTCAGAAGCACGAGTTCTCCGTGGATATGACCTGTGAAGGCTGCTCCAACGCAGTCACTCGAGTCCTCAACAAGCTAGGAGGTGAGTGAGTGGCCCTGGGTTGGGGGTGGGGTGGGGAGACTGGTACACTTATATTAAATGAATGCAGGCATGGAGCAGGAGAATCTTGAGTTTAAGCTGATCATAATAGTGAGACCAAAATGTACTGAGTTACTTAGCATGTGCCAAGTACTCTGCTTCATGGCATCTGTGGATCATGTCATTTAATCCTCACCACAACGATTTCAGGTAGTTTCTTTGACCATCTCAGTTTCAAGCAGGAGGGAACTGAAGTTCAGAGAGGTTGAATAACCTGTTGGGATCACATAGCCAGTAAATGACACAGCCAGTAAATTTGGCCTGGAGGAGCCCTTGCAGGACTAGTTACTATGTTACATTCATCTCTACTGTGGTAACTTTTGTTATGTGATGCATTTGAGTGTCATTTTCTATTAAGATTTTAAAAGTTGTAACATTTTTTTAAGTTGTAACATTTTAAGAAGCAAACTTCTGATCAGTCATGCTGGCAGAACTTGTAAAGCACCCCTTTTGGGTGTATTTAGAAAACCATTCTCCAGTCCCCTCAGTTCTCATCTGGGGAAACTGAGGCCCAGAGTGGGCTAGAGTCTGGTCCTGGAGTTCCATGAGATAACGACAGAGTTGTGATCAGAGTTATGGGGGCAATCCGTCTTTTAAGATTCTCATTTCTAAAACCCTGGATAATAAATTTTCTTTCTTTTTTAGTTTATTTTTAATTGAAGGATAATTGCATTATAATATTTTGTTGGTTTCTGCCATACATCAACATAAACTAGTCACAGGTATTCATATGCCCCCTCCTTCTTAAACCTTCCTCCAAACTCCCACTATTGTTGTTGTTCAGTCAAGTCATGTCCGACTCTTCTCAACCCAATGGACTGTAGCACACCAGACCTTCCTGTCATCACCGTCTCGGGGCATCTGCCCAAGTTTGTGTCCATTGAATCAGACCTCCCACAATGATAACACCCAGTTTTCCAAGGGCTCTCGTGGAGTTGTCATCCTGTTAGCACTTAAAACAGTCCTCTGAGCTAATACTTTCCATCTGTGGAATGGGGATGTTGACACCAGGCCCCAGAGGGGGAAGTGACTTGCCCAGAGTCCCATAGTGAGTCCACGGCTTATTTCTAGACTGTAAACTGGAACCTGAACTTGAAAAAATCTGAAACAATGGGAAAAACTTGACCACAAACTTCCTGTGTGACCATGGCCTCCTCTTCTGGGGCCTGGCTTTCCCCAGCTATGGTATGGGAATGTCAGTCTCTTAGCTTTGCTCTGGATGCTTTAAGGTGAAACTCCATGGCTTACCTGGTGGTTCAGTGGTAAAGAATCTGCCTGCCTGCCTGTGCAGGAGACATGGGTTCCATCCCTGGGCTGGGAAGATCCTACGTGCCACTGAGCATCTAAGCTCGTGCACTGCTGAGCCTGTGTTCTAGAACCGGGGAGCTGCAACTGCTAAGCCCACACGCGCTAGAGCCTGTGCTCCACAGCGAGAGAAGCCGCTGCAATGAGAAGCCTGCGCACCCGCAACTGGAGAGTAGCCCCCACTCACCACAACCGGAGAAAAGCTTGCGCAGCAACCAAGTTCCAGCGCAGCCAAAAATAAATAAATGTCTTTTCTTTTCTAAAAGAGTGAAGCCCTGCTCTGAAGCCCCTATATACAAGCAGCAGGTCTGGATGAAGTGAGGGCTGGCCTGCTTTCACTCTTGCCGGCTCCAGAACACCTGCCTGGGGACCTGGGCTGCCAGAAACACAGCTTTGAAATCCTCTGGGTCGGATGATCCCAGAGTGTCTTCCAGCACTATGATGCCACCAGAATATTTACTCTGAAGAGGAGGGAAGCCCTTTTGAAGCAAAAGACAAAACCCAGAGTGCAGCCAGCCAGAATGCACTGCCCTCAGCCCCTGGTGTCCAGTAGGTCCAGAGTCAGACGTTAGGACTAAATCCTGTGCTTTTTGAGGCTCCTTCACTGGTGCGTGAGGACCTGCCTCTGAGCTTGGGCAGGTATCTCCCACCTCTCACTACTGTTCCCATTTCGGTGGCCACTTGAGAAGAGTCAGAAGGGTTTTCTGAGTCAGTCGGGCCACGGAGAGTCTGAAGAATCACAGATCAGTGGTATACTTGACCTGGAGAGCCCACAAGGGCTGGCTGACCCCAACTCCTTCATGTTCCGATGGGGAGACTGGGGCCTGTGATGGGCAGGACCCAGCCGGTCAGTGGTGAAGCCAAGCCTGGGACTCTGCCTTTGTTATTTCAACAAGATCCGTTTGTACCTACTTGCATATGCCATCAAGGGTCCTTAAATGGACACAGCTCTTTAGGAGGGCAGTTTTGCAATATCTGTGAACATTTAAAGTACACCAACATTTTGTCCCACAATTTCCATTTTATGAATTCATGGTATAGAAATATTTTCACAAGTTTTATAAGATATGTTCAAGTATGTCTACATTGTTTTGATCATAGTGAGAAATTGGAAGCAGCCCAGTGTCTTTTAGAGGGCACTGAGTAGATGCACGGTGTGTGTGCACCGTTGCCCAGCTGTGTCCGACTCTTTGTGATCCCGTGGACTAGAGGCCTCCAGGTTCCTCTGTCCATAAGATTCTCAAGGCAAGAATACTGGAATGGGCTGCCATTCCCTTCTCCAGGGGATCTTCCTCATTCAGGGATCAAACCCAAGTCTCTGGTGTCTCCTGCAGTGACAGACAGATTCTTTACCACTGGGCCACCTGGGAAGCCCTGTGATACAGTAACACTGTGGGATATGGTGTCGCTGTCAAAAAGAATGAAGTAAGTCTCTATATGTGCTAAGATGGCAAGGTGTCCTGGACACTGTAAAGTGACTTGTTTACAGAGTATGATGCCACTTTGGAAAATGACTTTTCATTTGTCCATTAGGAGAAACACTGGATGGGACCCTATTGTTCAGTGATTCTTAGAGGCAGGAAATAGTAGGGGGCCTTCCAATTTCAAATTTTATTAAAAAATGTTTGTCTTTTTTTTTTTTTTTTTTAATGGTGTGTCTGGGGACTTCCCTGGCAGTCCAGTGGTTAAAACTTCATGCTTCCACTGCAGGGGGCACAGGTTCAATCCCTGGTCAGGGAACTAAGATCCCACAAACCACAGAATGTGGCCAAAAAAAAATTGGTATGTCTGTATTACTTTTGCAATTAAGAAAAAAAAAATTTTAAGCCCTTATTTAAAGGAGGGATGGACAAATTATAGCCTTTGGGCTCACAGTCTGTTATTGCACAGTTGAAAATGGTTTTTACATTTTTTAGGCTTGTAAAACAATATGGGGCTTCCCAAGTGGCTCAAGTGGTAAAGATCTGCCTACCAATTCAGGAACCATGAGAGAAATGGGTTCGATCCCTGGGTCAGGAAGATCCCCTGGAGAAGGAAATGGCAACCCACTTCAGATTCTTGCCTGGCAAATCCCATGGGCAGAGGAGCCTGGCAGGCTGCAACAAGATTCGCAAGATTCAGACACAAAAGCGAAAGTCACTCAGTCATGTCCAACTCTGTGACCCCATGGACCAAACAATGCGTGGAATTCTCCAAGCCAGAATATTGGAGTGGGTAGCCTTTCCCTTCTCCAGAGGATCTTCCCAACCCAGGGATCAAACCCAAGTCTTCCGCATTGCAGGCAGATTCTTTGCCAGCTGAGCCACCAGGAAAGCCACAACACCACAAAACATCTACAGAAGATGATGGGGCAGAGGCCATGCGGCTCACAGTTCTTAAACCATGGGCTCTCTGGCCCTTTTCAGAAGTTTGCCAATACCTGGTCTAGAGGAGAGGGAAAGAGTCGGGGTGAACAATTCAGGAGCCTGACTGGGTACATGTCTGTCCTCCCCACCCCACTTCCTGCAGGAGTTCAATTTGACATTGACCTGCCCAACAAAAAGGTCTGCATCAACTCTGAGCACAGCGTGGACACTTTGCTGGAGACCCTGGGGAAAACAGGAAAGGCTGTCTCCTACCTCGGCCCCAAGTAGAGAGGCCCCATCCGGCAGCCTGCAGGATGGACCAACATGGGCAGGTGGGTGAGGCCCCGACACGGCCACCAAATATGTCCTTACCCAGGGCAAACCACAAGCTCAGGGACTCCTTCCAGTCTCCCGCAAGCAGACAGAGCACTGCTTGATGTATCCTGGGGACCCCGCTATGACTTTGGGCTATAGTTCATGGTCAACAGGGTTTAAATGTAAGCATCTGGCCCTGGGCAGTGTGTCATTTACTTTGATAATATAACGGTCCCTTCAGAGACGATACTTACTCCCTGAACTTTGTTTACTGACCAGGTAAGTGAATTCACCTTGGCTTGCATCCCCAATTGGAACTGTTGTCAGCTTCCTGAGCATGGGCATTGCCCAGACTGGTGCAAAAACAGTGTGATCAATTTGGTAGCTTCTTAAAGCCTACCATGTAACCCAGTCATTCCTTGCCTAGCATTTACTCAAGAGAAATGAGAAGCACGGTCCATGTGAAGGCTTGTAAATGCTGATAGTGGCTTTACTTGTAATAGCCAAAAGCTGGAAACAACCCAGCATCCATCACTAAGTAAGTAAACAAACTGTGGTATAGCCATATAATTGAATACTGTTGTCCATGAAACAACTTCAATGAATCTCACGTATAAAAGAAGTGAGTGAAAGAAACCAAGAAAAGGGAACATACTGTATGTTTTCATGTATAGAAAATTCTAAAAAAAAAAAAAAAACTTGTCTGGTGAGGGTATGTGGGTGTATTCATCTGAGAAGTTACAGATCATCACATTATACACTAAAATACATGTATAACATGACAGTATATACGCCCAATAAAGTCGTTAAAGGTGAAAAACAACAAAAACAAAACAGCAGTGTGTTTAAGCTGGCTGTTCCCTTTGATTTTACATAATCAAAGAAAGGCAGGTGGCACTGTGCCAGCACCCTTCACTGTGGAGCCAGGGCAGACTGTAGTCATCCGTGCAGCGTTCCTTCCCTCTGGGCGCAGTCTCAGTCTCAGTCCCCTTCAGAGCACAGCCCTCCCAGTGGTCACTGCCTGAGTGCCTTTAATGCGTGGATGACAACAATCACGATGTCCCTGATGTTGGCCAGGGCTCTCACTGTAATTAGGAAACATGCGGCCTGGAGAAGGGAAGTGACTTGACCGAAGCTTCACACAGATGAGTGCCAGGAGCAGGCTGCAAGTCAGGTGTCCAACTGTTCAGCGGCTGTTCGGCCGCTGCCTCCTTCCTAAAGGTGGGTGTTGGAATCTGAGCCGTGGCGATGGCCTGTGTATCTGGTGACATCACATGCAGATCACAAGATGTCAGGTGTGTCTGTCTTCCTCTTCCCCTTTCTGCCCATGGATACAACCATGTTCAGGAATGAGCCCAGGATGAATAATCAGTGTTCCAGGAGTCTAGTTTTAGTTCTGCCCTCAGTTCACACTCTGACTTTGGACATTTGTCTTTTATTCCTGAGACCTAGTCCTCCGTCCTGTAAAATGGGGCTGTAACCTCTACCTTGCTTTACTGCCTTATGGGGGTTGCTATGACGTCCCTCTGAATATGAAGGATGATCTTTAAAGGGAGAGTAATGTTTCCACAATACCAGTGTTCATCATGGTGGTTCTTGTGTCCCTGGGGTTCTGGGAGGACGGGTGGGACCCTGGGCCCCTCCATCTAACCTAAGTAGCCCTATTTTATATTGGGTATAAGATTGTGTTTATAAAAGTCTCAATGACAAGGATGGATGGAGGAAGGGAAAAGTTACTCAGTGGCTCCACACATAGGGGAGCCCCAGTGCAGACACACTGAATTGGAAACTCCTGACTTGAGCATGTAAATTTTAACTGAAAAATTAATACCTGGACTTCCCTGGTGGTCCAGTGGTTCAGTGGCTAACATTCGGCACTCCCAATGCAGGGGAGCCAAGTTCAATTCCTGGCCAGGGAACTAGATCCCACATGCTGCAACCAAGACTCAACACAGCCAAATGAATAAAATATATATATATATATATAAATAAAAGTAATACCTGCCAGTTGTAAACCATGTGTAGCTTAACGTGTGTTTTTTCTCATAGTAGGCTCTTCTTTTTAAATTGAGATGAAATTCACATAACGTTCAGCTAACCATTGTCACATGTACCACTCGTGGGCCTTTATAGTGTGTTCACCTGTTGTACCTCCACTCTCATTTCAAAACTTTTGTCACACTGGGAAGACTCCCTGTACCCATTTAAGCTCACACTCATTCCCCACTGCCTCCTCTCTTCATCCCCTAGCAACCACAAATCTGCCTTCTGCCCTTCTGGACTCACCTATTCTGGATGTTTCCCATAAAAGGAAACATTACATGACCTTTTGTGTTTGGCTTCTTTCACTCAGCATAATGTTTTCAGGATTCACTTGAGCTTAGCACGTATCAGTACTTCATTCTTTTCAGTGGTTAGATAGTTCTCATAGTAGTTTTCATTAATTTATCTATTTTAGCTTTTTTTTTTTTAATTATAGGAAGTGTCAAAACTATGCAAGTAGCGTCGTAAAATGAATCTCCACATGCACATCACCCAAATGCAACACTTAATTAGTCATTGCCATCATTTCATCCGTGGCCCACTCTCACCAGCCCCGTACTCACAGCAAACTCAGGCATCATGGAGTCCGGTCTGCACACCTGTCAGTAGCGATGTGTAGCATGAAGAGGCTGCTGGAGGTTCATACGCACAGCACCGGGTGAGAATCGCTGATCAAGCCAGTTTTACTCCCACACACCAGGCAGCATCTGTCTCTGAGTCTGTTTTAAGAGGCTCCCCAGTGACTGATTCGAAGCCAGGTTCAGGAACCAGAGGATGAATGTTTATCAGTTATGAGGTCTCCTTCATCATCTGACTCTTAGCAAATTTGTTTGCTCATGGCTTTTTGTTGTTGTTGCCATCCCAGTATAAGTTGAAACAGGACAGAGGAAGTGCTCCAGCAGCCCTGGGAGAGCCCTAGGAGAGGGCCTCAGCAGTGATCGGCTTAGCAAGGCCCAGGTGTTCTTGTAGGAGCAGCGTGCAGGGCTGGACATGGGGTTCAGTTCTACTCGGCACCTGGGCTTCCCACTTCACCCGCTGCAGCTGCCTCCTGGTGAATCTTTACTGCTTTTGTAATGTCTCCATGTGCACAGCAGATGGCGCCAGTGTTCCACCCCACTTCTCATTTCTTCCAGGACGCTGATCCTCTCCTGCCTTCCAGACAGACCTAGGACCTGGCAACCCCGCTCAGCAATGGTAGTTCCTGTGGAGACCGTCATTTACCCTGCTCCTCTGTAGCCCCCCTGCAATAAAGTCAAGGCGATTTTGCTGGTGATACTGTCTCTTGCCTGTCTTGTCACTTGCTTACGTGCTGTGCTGTGCGGTGGTGCTCTCATGTTGCTGTGAAGGAAATAACAACAGTGCTTCCTTGGGTTGGCGTTCTAACAGCTCCCAGGTCCAGTGGACTCTGAACCTTGGCTGTGTGAGCTTTTGCAGATCACTTGCCCTCTCTGGGCCTCACTTTTCCTCACCTATAAGTGAAGGTGTTGGCTTAGGTTGGTGATCCTCTTTCTTTTCACTACTTTCTTAGACTCTGTGTATTGAAAAACTTTTGTCTGTCAAGTGAATGCATTTAAGGGACGTAAAATTGTATGGTAATGGGAATAATAATGGGAAGATGTGCTTGTGTATCAGAATAATGGGAAGAGAGAGATTGTCTGGGACAGAGTCCAAGCTCCACATCTCCCAGCTGGGCCACATAATCTCTTGGTGTCCACAGGCATAAAATGTGGTAACAGCATCTCTTGCAAATGGTGGCTGTGGGGATTAAATGGGATGACTAGTGTAAATCACTTAGAGAGTGTTTGCCATTTAGAAATCACTCAGTGAACATTCTCTATTCACGTACACTTTTTTGGTGTGTATTTAATTAATCAAGTATCTATAGAGATGGCAATTAGAATCCCAGTCAGCCTAAAAGTTAGTGCCTACAGAGTTGATTCAGTTATATCAAAACAAAGGGAATGTTTTCATTTGTATAGCTTTATTTACTTTTTAAAAATACTTTCAAGCAGCAGCTCTCAAACTGTTTCATCTCAGGACCCTTTAACACTTGAAAATTTCTGAGTGTCTCAAAGAGTTTATGGTTATGTGGGTTAGAAATTAAAACAGGAATGTTTGAAACACAGGAATACATAAGCACATCTCCCATGAGCCATTGGGGCAAGATGAGGTCATCGCACAGAATTTAGATCCTGGAAACTTCACTGCATGATTGTAAGAGAAAAGGGGAGGAAAAGGCATCTTGTGGGAGAAGTTTTGACCTGGCATTCCTACTGAAAGGTCTTGGGAACCACATCACTGCTTTGATCAGTGACCTGAGATGAGACCTGGGTCTGCCTGTGGCCACCTGTGACCTTGGACCAGTCACCTCGTCTCTTCCAGATGCAGTTTCCTCATCTGTGCAGTGCACAGTGTTGGTACCTCAGGGGCCTTAAGTAAGACTCTGCCAGCCCTAAACCTGTGCTAGTGTAATTCTGGCCCCGTCATGAGAGTACGAAAGCAAGTCTCAGCCATTTCTGCCTTTGTGGTCCCTCGGGCACAGGGCTTCTACCAGCCTTCACGGTATCTAGGTGTCTTGGCCACAAGATGGCACTGTTCTTTGGCTTTGGTCATCATGGAGATGTTGAAGACCATTTCTGTGGAATCTGGGAGTGCAGACTTGAGTTTTTCCATTTTCACAGCTTCCCAGGAGACCTGGTTGATGCTGGCTGGCCCACTGGGAACACCCAAGGATGGAGACACGGGTGCCTCTTGGGGCGAGCGGTCCTTGGAGGAGTTTCTTTCCTTTAATTTTTCTTCACCCCACCACTCCCTGCTGGAATCCAGGTTTCCAGCTGAGGCCCTAGGTTTCGCTCTTCAATGCCCCAAGCTGCTGGAGCCAATGAAATCCCACAGCAGGGTGTGTGTGTGTGTTGGGGAGCAAATGTCAC